TTTATGAAATAGATTTCCCCTGGAGGTGCTTCAAGCCTTATCATTGTGCACCTTTAAGAGTTACTAAAGACTGAGCTGTTTAGGAAAACATTCAATAATATTTTCCCCTGAGGTGTCAGTGGGATTTGGCTCTACCTCATCCGATGTCCAACTAAAAGATTGGCATCTTTTAGTTTTATAATTTAATTTTAACCCAAGTGTTTTTTGGTGTTTAAATTAAATCACACTAATGGGAATTTGGGAGGTTGATATATTTTTGTTTATGTCTGTTGTTATCTGTCCCAAGTAGTGCTTTGCACATTTATTACAAATGTAATAAATAAAAAAAATTCATAATCTCTCATTTTATATTTTGATTTCATTGCTATTGAATTTAAAATGGGTTACCAGATGTTTTTAATATTAAGATAAAAACTGGCACTACAACTCATCAACTACAACTTTAAAAGGCTGGCGGTGTACTGTTTTTTTAATTTGTTAAATTAAGTCAGATGGGAAAAATAAAGCTCATATCATCCATGAACTTTTAAATAATGCACATTTAATTACTATAGTCAGCACAGATAATCGCAGTCAGCACTGAGCAACAGAAGCAGCAGCAATCACAACCAACAGACTGCAAGTGTATCGTGCTCTGAGATCTAATATTCCCATCACCATAAGGACATGGAGAATGCTGGGGAGACTATCAGTGTGGAAATGGTAGGAAGACTGTAAAAAGATGGAAGAATAAGCCCCATGTATTCAGCTGCAAGTTTAAAAAAAGAATAATTAGCAGCATCAAACAAAGATATGAAAGAATACAAGAAAGGGGCAATAAAAAACTTGCATTTTTAAACAGTATTTTGTGATTTGTCACCAAATTTCTGCAATGGATTACAATGCTAAACCCTGGAGGCAGTTATTGTAGGAAGGATTTCAAGTTGTTATTTCCTTTTCAATGCAGAGAAAAGTGTGAAGGGATCTGTTCAATTTCACTCCTTCACTTGGAAAAGGAAAAGTGATAAGTCTGTGCGATCCTTGGTTAAAGGAAGCAATAAACTTTTATTTATAGTTAGTGTTATTATTACAGTATTTCATATATAGCATGGAGCTGCTTTTCCATAATTTCACCTCAGAGAGCAGAAAATGGAGGAGGTGGGAAGGGTGGCTAGCAAAGGAAACAAAAGGAAGGAAAGGGCAGCCTCAAGGATTTTGAGGCATGAAAATAACCCATAAGCAAGCAGCAGATTCAGAAAGTGCTCTCCACTAATACCAAGAGTTAAAAGGAGCTTGCATAAAAGCTTGCATTTTCCAACAGTTATTTTAAACTTGCATTTTTCTTGGTCTTAGAGGCTGTATGTGGCCCACTGGTCATTTTAACCACTGCTGTTTTATCCCTTCTGTTCTCAGGGGAAGATTGGGAGAAGGGACATCTGGATCCACTGGAAAATCCATGAACAAATGACAGTAGGCTGGCCATGCCTGCTGACTCCCAGCCCTTTAACATTTGCTGCAACAAAACGGCTGCCCCAGTGCTTGGTAGGGCAGAAGGTACAGTAACTGATGGTGACATAACCACAAGCAAAAGTCTCTCTCTCTCACACACACACACACACCTACGCAATCAATCACACATAGAGAGAGCTTCTACCTCTGCACATAGCCAGATCCATGCCTCACATGACCTAACTGATGGGGTACCTCGTTTTGTCAAAAAATTGAAAGGAAGAAGGTGCCTAGTGAATGGTTTTCTGTGAGCTCTGTCTAGATCTGATAGAAAGATAAATTGCTTACCTCAGAATTCTTTAATAGTTGTTATATGTCTTTCTCTTCCAGAGTCTTCATTGGTGACTCTTAGGATTCTGTAAAAATCAAGGTAGAATCCACAAGCCTTAAGTCTCCCCAAGCCAGGATATTGTAGACCATTGTTAGGCTGCTCTACTGATTTCCCAAGAAGAGCAACCACCTGACCTGGCCTCATTCATACTCTCCAGAGGAACAGCAACTCTGGGGAAATTGCTCTATGTCTCCCTGCCAAAAACGACTGGTCCCCTTTTCCCAATAAACATGCACAGAACTGGGTTGCAAATATATTTAGGATCACAATGTGAACTGAATGATATAATTTAAATGCCTCCTTTGAGATTTTATTCTGATTAATGTTTTCCAAAGTCCTGTTTTTAACTTCTGTATAGTTGTAGTATAGTATTATCACAGATCAATACGTGGGCAAAGAAAAGAAGAAAGGATGGTGGGAAAATTGTCTAGAGGTTAAATCCTCTGCCTTTGTACCATTTATCTGCACTTTGTAAAACTTAAATTCACATTTTATGCAATATGACATCTATTAAAAGATGAATTCTCAACAAAACGAATTTTAATATTGCAGCCCCTAGTGTTTTGTTTGTTTACTGAAAAATAGTGTCTAGCGAAAGAGAGCAAAGAATTGCCTGAGCTGGAAATGGTGAAAGATGCCCTCTGAGTATGTGTAGCAACCATGAAGGGATCTTGGACAGAATACAGCAGGGCTCTGACTATTACTAAAATATGACAAAACTTGTAATCAGAAATACTTATATTTCACAACTACAGACACTGGCTGGATTTTAAAATTTACACTTCTCCAATGAATTGCATGGGTCTGAACAGCACGGTTTTGGTTATATTCAGATTTTTTAATTAAATAAACAAATATTTTAATAAATAAAAAACAATAAATACTTTGTCTCTGACCATCCAGAACCATGGGCATGAGTGTAACATTAAAGGCGTCAAAGGGGTCAACTTGCCCCCAAACACAACATCTCTAATTCAGCCTCTAGGTCAAGGGGTTATAAGGACATTTAAGGCTCACTACACTCAGTACTTTATAGAAAGGATTGTTCACACTATGGAAGAGACCCCTCTGTGTGTGTGTGTGAGAGAGAGAATCAACGATTTATGCATTTATGTTTTTGGGAGCATAAGAGTTATACACAGATTTTGAACTACACAAGGGTCCAGCATCCCTACTCCCCTTGTTGAAAGGAGAAATTTAGTTGCACTTCACAGCATTCTAAAATGTCTTTCAGATAACTGAATAAAATACTCTTGTGAGATATAAAATGATTCTGTGCTTGTGTGTACACACACAGGTGCATGAGAGAATGTGAATACCATTGCTAATATAGAACTTTAAGAGCTAAAGGCATCAATATGCTTTTAATGCCCCTCTTCTTTGACCCTTTTGTTTCCCTCTCCTGCCTCTGTCTGTAACACCTTTGCTTTAGGGATGTGAAGAAACCACCCCATATTTCAATCAACACAAAGTATTTGGCCACTGTGACACAGAATTATAATATATAATATATATAACCTTAGAACTGGAGAGCAGAAGGGACCCTATGGATCATCAAGCCCAGTCCCCATCAGGGAGGCACAGTGGGGAATTGAATTCCCAACATCTAAACCACTGAGCTGTTCAGCAGTTCTCCAACCCCTGTGCAAGATTTGCCTCCAGTCCAAAAACAGACTTGAAACCAAGCCATGTTTTCCTTGTGTTTTCTGCAGTTTGCACAGAAAGAGTCTGTGGGCCAAACTAGCATCTTTTTCCTTTGTGAAGCTATGCATGCATGCACATGGCAAGCAAACCAGGTTAGGCTGGTGACATACTGTAGGCAGAAACAACCCATCCAATTCTACTACTTCTACTGGTCCACACAAGATGACAGTTACTGCAGTTTTAAATTTTACCTTACTGTGGAAATGCATAAAAGACATATAGCTCTAATACTGATGAAATTATCCTCGTTTCCACTATGAGGTGACAGATCCTTGAATTGATCATTTACCATACAAGTTAGGATCTACATCTCTATCTTGTTCACACTGTTCAGCTCTAAAACATTATGCTCGCTTTCAAAATGCACGTATCACCCCTGACACAGTCAGATTTTATACATTTGCACAGTGAGAATAAAAATAAATTTGAATTGAACTCTGAGATTTCCAAATAAATATACATGCATCATGTTTCTAAGCATGTTTACTATGAATTAAGCTGCTTTCAGTGTCAAGACAAGCATACAATGTGTTGCAGTCTTCAAGGTAACTTTTCCTTCCATCCCCACAAAAGTTGCAATAGTACAGAATACTGTACCTTTTTGAGTGATGCGGCTTACTAGGACTCATTCCCTCATGTTGCAATTTTTATATCCTGCTTACTTGGGAATACTGAACTCCTCAAACAGCAATGTATAAAAAACTGTGTTGTCACACGCTGAAGAGTGTATCTGTATATGTCTATTACAGTGTGCTGTCAAGTCTTGCTTTCAGGGCTTAGTTTTAGCCAGCGTTTAGTAGCCAGACCTGTTTTTCATGATTGAATTCATTCCTCAGAACATCATGTGATGCACTGAAACAGCTTCCAGAGGGGCAAGTTGAACAAGTGTGTTACCACAAAGGCCAAAAATATGTTTTTGATTTGTTTTTTTGAAGGTGTAACCTCAGCACGCCCTTAAATGATGTACTGGGATATACCGTTTTGCGGACTAGCACCTACACACATACACACACGGCCACTGCGTATCAAGACTTTCGTCTGGAATTCGGATTTCTAGAGAACCTGAGACGCAGGACTGGCCGGCCCTACCATGAGGCAGAGCGAGGCAATCATCATAAGCAACACACTCTGATGGTCATGAAAACCCAGTGGAAGGCTCGCTTAATTTGTTGTTCCAGTACTTTTCCTGCTATCGCCGGTTAGAGATGCTAAAAAGGGTTTTTTGTTCCCCCCCCACCTTCCTCCGCCGGGATCTCTTGTGCGGGCGTTAGTTTACATGCGCCTTAACTTCAGCAGACGGACGGGACGCGGGGGGCTCCCTAACCGGCGGCAGGACCCTCTCTTGGGCCGGTCCCGAGCCAGACCTCCCCCCCCTTCCCATCCCCGCGGCGTCGCGTTATCGCTCTTCCACCCTCGCCGGTTCCTATTGGTTGGCGGCCTCACAGGAAGGAGCGGCGACGGTCTTGCTGGCCTCCGAACGGTCCTAGCGCCGGCCATCACCGATAAAGAGGGCCTGACGCGGAGCGGCCACGTTCGGCTACGACAACACGGTATTCTGCCCCTCCACCCGCTCCAGCCCTCCATTCTTCTGCGGGCGGCTTAAATAAGAGAGGGCCGGGGCTCTCCCGCTCCAGAGCGCGCTTCGGCTGCTTTATTGTTGGCGGGGCGGTTAGGCGAAGAGTCGCTTTAACCCGGGAAGAGAAGGAGGAGGACGAGAAGACGAAAGCAGGTGGGTGAGTCAGCCTCGCTGCCAGCCTGTCATTCCGCGGAGGAGAGGCTGGGGCTTTTGCACCGAAGGCGGGCGAGGTTTCTGGGGGGCGCTGCGGGGACTTTCCCCCGCTCCTTCCTCCGAGAAGAGGCAGCCCCAGCCTGCCTGCCTGCCTACCTGCCTGCCCTCCTCCTTCTCCTCGGGTTCTTTAGCCACCCTCCCTGCGTGGGGCTGGAGCCTCTCTCTCTCTACGCCAGCCTGCCCTGCGGCTGGAAAAAAAAGGGGGCGGGAGAGCGGGGTCGCTGAGGGAGGGGGGAAAAAAGCGCACGTCGGGAAGCCCCTAGAGAAGGAGCCTGGAAGCCGGGAGGTCCTGCCCTGCCCTAGGCCGTTTGCAGGGGCTGCCCGCTTTCGTCTGTCGTGAGGAGGAGGAGGAGGAGGAGGAGGCGAGCGCTGCCGTCGGTTCCAGGTCTGGCGGAGGGACCGAGGGCTGTGCGGGAAGGAGGGAGTGCGTGCCTGCCTGCCTGCCTGCCTTTTGTGTGTGACACTTCTGTCGGGCGCCCCCGCAGGGCTCAGTTGTGCCTCCGAGACAGGAAGGGTATGGGGATGGACCTCGTTGTTTGTGTGTCTGTGTGCGTGTGTGCGTGTGCGGGGTGGTCCTCCCTGTTGTCATCTGCCGTCCAGCCGCTTCCCACTTATGGTGACCCTGTAAATCAATGACCTCTAAAGGACCCTGTCACTCATAGCATAGCCCTGGTCAGGTCTACCAAACTCAAGACCTTTAATGAAGCGGCCCATGTCAGATTTGGGCTCCTCCTTTTTTCCCCTGCTGCCTTGGACTTTTCCTAGCATTATTGTCTGTGTCAGATTTGGGCTCCTCCTTTTTTTTCCTGCTGCTTTTCCTAGCATTATTGTCTTTTCCGGGGAGTCTTGGGTTGTCTAGGTCTCCAGAGATAACCCAAATCTGGTTTCCGCCTAACCCTGCGCTGGTGTTTCCAGAGGAAGGTGGCATCAGTGCTAGCTGGTGGAAACGGTTTGAGCTTTTGGACACCCCTTTGCTACATTCCAAGACAATTGGTTTCAGGGAGTGTGTAGACAATCTATTATTATTATCATCCCACCATATTTGGGGTGTGTGTCAGTTTTCTGCCTTCAAACTAGGTAGCGTTTCTTGGGCCCATCAAAGGACCAGGGGGTTGAGTTTTAGCCGCCCAGAGTGGTAGAATATACCAGATGGGCAGGATATAAATCAAATAAATAAATAAACAAACAAGAAAGAAAAAAGAATATGGGTATATATTTTAAAATGCAGCATAGTCTGTTGTTATCATACTCTGTCAGCAAGTTATCTTCCTTACCATATGGGACCTTGCATGGCTAGAGGAGAATTGTACTGTATAGAACAGTCTGTAACAATGTGATTGCTTAAAGATGGGACTCAACAGGATTATTTCTCTTGAGTCTCTTATTAAGAGTTTCAGCTCAACTGAGGGCCAGTTCAGAGGGATGAAATGCTTTTCGTTCTGCACTGGCCCAAAGGTAGAATTGTTCTTGAAGTCTTCCTCCATGGAGCTCTGGGCACTTTGTTTCTGTTGCTAATGATAATGAAACTTGTTGCTGCCTTTGCAGCTATCAGAATAGGAATCTTCCACCTTCATTTAGATTACCAAGAAATGTTTGTGTGGGAGACCTGCTAACAAAAGGTTGTCAAATCCCTTTTATAAATTTAATAATCATGCATAGTCCATGATACAGTTATACTGTTAAGCATTTATCATTTTTCCCTTGTAAGGAATAAATGTAAACTTAGCAACCATGGAGTGATGGGACAGATTTTACAAATTTTGAATCTGAGTATAAAAGAAAAGAATACAATAGTCTGTTCTGGAAGTGGAAGAAGCTATGCAGTGAGTTCTTCAGGGATCTGTATTGTTGGAACCACTTCATTTTAATTTGTTCATATTCACTGGAAGAAAGATAAGCAATAAGTTGGCCATGTTTGTTGGTGGACCCAACTTATTTACAAATGTCCTGAGGGGTAGACTGTTGCAACACAAAACAATGGCAAGTCTTGAAAAATGTGAAAGACTAGCAAACATTATTTGCTACCCTGCTTCCCTGAAAATAAGACCTAACCTGAAAATAAGCCCTAGTATGATTTTTCAGGATGTTCATAATATAAACCCTCTCCCAAAAATAAGCCCTAGTTAAGTGAAAGCCTGCCCTCCACCATTGTGCAGCAACCAGAAGAAGATGACATGATTGTATTTCAATAAATGTAGATTGTACATGGAAAAAAAATAAAGCATCCCCTGAAAATAAGCCCTAATGTGTTTTTTGAAGCAAAAATTAATACAAGACCCTGTCTTATATTCGGGGAAACACGGTACAGTGTAAGCTTTTGTGGGCTATAGTGTGCAAAACATATGCCAAATAAAATGTGTTAGTTTTTAAGGTACCAGAAGACAAGAAAAATGAGAAAGCATGTGGAAGAGCTCCAAAAGAATTCCCCACCACCACTCCATTGGCCACTAATATGCAAATGCTATATGTAAGCAAATGTGAAGGGTAGAGTAGCCACACTTAAAGCCCCTCTTTCAGATTTACACTGGGTTATATTGGAGCTGATGGTCAGGAAATCAGATCAGGAAAGGGATTTTAGGATTGTGGTGGTCACCTTGATGGACGCATCAATCCAGTGTGTGGCAACTGTGTGAAAAGGTGAATCCATGTTCAGCTCCAAAGGAATTGAAACCTACCAATATCATAATGTCTTTAGACAAATCCATGATATGACCATACTTGGAATACTGAGTACAGAGGATATTGTACTGGTGGAGAAGGTGTAAAAAAAAAGAGAGGGAGCAAGCAAAATAATCAAGGACTGCAGCAACTCCTCTGTGGAGAAAGATTACAACTTTGGAGACTTTCTTGCTTAGAAAGAAAGATGGCAGATGGGAACTATCTGTTTTGAGTGATTATTTGCATTTAGAAACTTTATGTTATAAAAAATGAGATAAACATTTTGGCAGGCACTTGAGTCACAATTAATAGTTTTTTTTGTTGCCTCCAAAATAACAATTTCTCCAGGTAATGACATTAATACTTTAAAAGTCATGTTTGCTTGCCTGTAATTAGGCACTATTAGATTCTGACTTGCAACAACACACTTCATTGTTTAGTTACCTGGGATGCTTAGCCAATGATTGATTTTCATGTTTGTTCAAACACTTACAGTATCTTACTTATAGAGGCACATGTTTCTCAGTACAGTGGTGCCTCGCTGAGTGATGTTAATTCGTTCTGAAAAATCGTTGCTAAGCAATTTCATCGCTAAGCGAAATGCGGTTTCCCATTGAAATGCATTGAAAACCAGATAATCCGTTCCAATAGGAACGAATTGCAGTCCTTAAGCGAAAATCGCCATAGGAAACATAGCTAAGCCAAACGCGGTTCCCCAATTGAAATGCATTGAAACCTATTCAATGCATCTCAATGGGGGGAAAAATACAACAACAAATTAAAAAAGAGTCAGAACAAAGTCAAATTTGATTAACAAAGGGTTTATTAAGTTCACTTTATGATTTCAAACATTTTAAACAGTAAACTTTAACTTTATAAATAACAGAAAAACATTTAAAAAACAGCAAACATGAGGCTGTCTAAACCATCGTTAAGCAAAACAGGGGACCCAAAATTTAATCGCTATGCGAAGCATGGTCCCAACCATTGCTAAGTGAAAATCGCCATAGGGACCATCGCTAAACAAAGCACAAAAACACTCAGAGAAAGTCATCACTAAGCGATTTTGTCGCTAAACGGGGCACCCGTTAAGCAAGGCACCACTGTATTTGTAAACTTTTTGAGATCATGGAAGAAGCAAATGTAAGACTGCATCTGTATTTTTAATCTGTAGGGAAGACAGTCTTGTACATTTTGTCCTTGATGTCTTATGTAGAATGTTTTCAATTCTATGAGGGTGAAAGAGGAGAGTGCAAAAAAGGTCTGAAATTCAACATCAAAAAAACTAAGATCATGGCCACTGGTCCCATCACCTCCTGGAAAATAGAAGGGGAAGATATGGAGGCAGTGTCAGATTTTATCTTCCTGGGCTCCATGATCACTGCAGATGGAGACAGCAGCCCCGAAATTAAAAGATGCCTGCTTCTTGGGAGGAAAGCGATGACAAATCTTGACAGCATCTTAAAAAGCAGAGACATCGCCTTGCCAACGAAAGTCCGAATAGTCAAAGCTATGGTTTTTCCTGTTGTGATGTATGGAAGTGAGAGCTGGACCATAAAGAAAGCAGACCGCCGAAGAATTGATGCCTTTGAATTGTGGTGCTGGAGGAGGCTCTTGAGAATCCCCTGGACTGCAAGGAGAACAAACCTATCAATTCTAAAGGAAATCAATCTTGAGTGCTCACTGGAAGGACAGATCCTGAAGCTGAGGCTCCAGTACTTTGGCCATCTCATGAGAAGAGAAGACTGCCTGGAAAAGACCTTGATGTTGGGAAAGTGTGATGGCAAGAGGAGAAGGGGACAGTGTCTGTGAAGCAACCAACATGAATTTGACACAACTCCGGGAGGCAGTGGAAGATAGGAGGGCCTGGCATGCTCTGGTCCATGGGGTCACGAAGAGTCGGACATGACTAAACAACTAAACGAACGAACGACCAAAGGAAAAGACGCTTTCTTTCAGAGGAACAACCGGCTGGTCAGAATCTTCACCTGATTATTGATGAGCCTGGCAATTGTGTGATGCTCATAGTACTGAACATGCAAGAAAATCCACTAGAAAAAACACAATATTATGTATACAAGTTATGGTGACGTTGCTTGGGAACTGGAGCATTGGTATCTTAAAATAAACTCCTTTTGTATGACACTTTTATTCAGCAGTGTAAATAGAAGCATGGAGAAATGACATAGAATATGAATATCCAGATTTTGGTCTGACTGATTAAGGAGTCTACACTTGACGTTTCTTTGAAATGTATTACTTTTGTAGTATAATAACCCTCAATTT